GGGGTGGTGTCAATTTTCTTTTTTGCGGAAGCCTTATTTTTCTGTGGTGAATGCAATTTTTGTGGTTCATGACCTGAACGGGTATCCAAGTTTTGTATGGCAGTAATGTCGGCCCCGTATTTTTCGGCCTCCTCATTGGTAACATTGTCAAGACAAATAAATATCTGCAAAAACCAAAAAAAATTATTAAAAATCATAGCGCAACCATAGCGCAACCATAGCGCAACCATAGCGCAACCATAGCGCAACCATAGCGCAACCATAGCGCAACCATAGCGCAACCATAGCGCAACCATAGCGCAACCATAGCGCAACCATAGCGCAACCATAGCGCAACCATAGCGCAACCATAGCGCAACCATAGCGCAACCATAGCGCAACCATAGCGCAACCATAGCGCAACCATAGCGCAACCATAGCGCAACCATAGCGCAACTTTACATTTCTTAATTATTGAGCTTCAAGAAGTTTCAAATTCCGAAAAAAAAACAAAAATTTAACACCTCATTGAACATATATGCTAGTTATACAACTATTACTAAACCATAAAAGTTAGAAGATAGCGTAAACCTTTCGTATCATCCATTTACGAAGAGAAGAAGCGTGAAAAATCAGAAAATAAACATTTGAACAGTACATTACATTAAACAAATAATGAAAAAATTATAACCAAACCCTAAACCCTAAAATTTAACGGTTAACTTAAACGCAACGAAAGCGCAAGTCAAGCGCAAGTTAGGCGCAACCATACCTCTTCCTGATTTATGATCTTCTACAAGTTCGTCGTCTACTTCCGGCAGGAATAAGCTAATGCAGAACCGAAGGAAATGGAGGAATCCGAGAGCGCGAGCTGGAGCTGGAGAAACAGTGAAGAGGTCGCGCGGCGTTTCCATTCTTTATTTTCCGGAATTCAAATGAAAGGCGTTATCGGGTCGGGTCGCTAACTCTGAAAAGACATAAAGCGTTAATATTAAATTAAAAAAATGCCTAACAGATGTCGCATTTTTATTGGCGACCGAACGGAGAGATGGCTTCGGTCACCTGACCCAATAATTTGCCCTTGCTGTGCGGTAGGCTTTTAGGGTTTGTTTTTCTTCTTTTTGCTGTTCGTACAACGTACCTGTTCGACTTCGCCTGCTTCGCGCGTGAGGTAAAGTTTCGAACGAGTCGATAAAATACCTGTTCGCCTACTTCGACGACTTTACTTCCTGTCGGGTCGGAATTCACTACAGCTCGCCGTTCTTTTGTTGGGTCGGAAGTACCGACGACGACGGGAGGGAGCTCACTCGTTGCGAAGGTAACAATTTTCTTCCATTCGCGCGCTTCTTCGCCAAATCCCGTAAATCCGCCGAACTCACGGATTTACTGCAAAAAGTGGAACGGCGGATTTATTCCGCCGTGAGATTTATGCCGAATCGAAATCCTGTTTGGCAGTCGCTAAATCCTGCTCAAATTCTGCGTAAATCCTGTTGCCAAAAGGTTTTCGCTGCCATTCCACTGAATTCAGTTTAGCTCCGCTCCGTCTAATCCACGACACGCGCTAAAATCCTGAGCTCGTTTTCACCTGATTGAATAGTGCTAGGTGTTGGTTAGGGATTTCACGCGCTGATCGAAGGAGGCATAATGGGAGTCTCCTTCAAGGTATCTAAGATCGGAAAGAGGTACGTGCCAAAACCGATTGCCGAGCAGGTGGAGTGCTCTCCCAGTGAGAACCCTCATGCCATCAACGGACCTGCTTCAAAGAAAAAAGTATGTATATATATGTGTATATGTTTCATTACTAATGTTTGCAGGAGCCTTCTTGATGGAAAATTAGAACTTTTGACTTATTACCGCTCATAAGTTGCCTTATATAACACTAGTTGAACCTTCTTTTTTTTACGTTGGATGTCTCTTTAATCGATGGATGCTTCATCACATTGGATGATATTGACGCATCATGAATTAATTTGGACATTTTGATACTTAATAGCTTTTATTACTACCGTTAAAGCATATTTCATGCAGTTCATAAATCCTAATTAACGTATTTAATAGTTGCATATGATAGTTGAATTAATCAATCATTTACTAATGTTTGCAGGAGCCTTAAATTTCTATGTTAGTTTTCATAATTGTTGCTGCAGCATTACCTTTTGATACTTTTTTATTTTGACTAAAATTGGTTGTCGTTCTATAGTTACTTGGCAACTCTAAATTAACTTAAGAAATTTTGTCCATGGACGATATAATAACTAATCCATGTCTATTTGCTTATTTTAGTTATTACTCACTTGTACATATTCATTATCAATCATCATCATCATTAGCCTTATCCGAACTATTTAAGTTAACTTCATGAATTCCTTACCTTATTTTGTTCCTATAAAGTACTGTACAAGGTGTTGATGTATGACATCTTAGTGTTTGAAGTTTCGAATGCATATATAGCATATAATCTAGAACAACACAAAAAACATGCAAATCACATCACACATGAAATATTAATCTTAATACGTTTTCATTGTTTCGATGAAAACTAAAAAGTGATGACATTCAATTTTTTTGAAAGATTTATGGCCATTTAATTGAAATTAAAGTTAAGAAATTTATGGGTCATGAAAATTACATACACAATTTAAAATATTTGCAAAAGCAGTAGATCCACATTATGAAAAATACTCAACTCCACCCTCAACCTATATTGAAAAAACTATAAGAAGAATTTGAAGAGAAAGGAAGAAAAAGAAAAGTCACCAAAAGCAAGCCTCATACTTCTTCATGAACAGAACTTCTCCCGAAAATTTAAAGTCTTATGCTTGATCATGGAATTCAATATTGAAGGATTATAACTCAAAAGCAATATTTTATTTGACATAATAATTTTTTTATTTGTTTCAGATCCCGATTTTAGTGGGATAAAGGCTTGTTGTTGTTGTTTCAGATCCCCATTAAAAAAACAAACAAACAAACATATTACATCTCTTAGAAAGCGTCCATTGAAGGATGGCTAGATAAAAATCACAAGGAATGTGTAATGTATACACCAATAGATGGAATCATAAGGAATCCATGAAATTTGTCAACAAAATAATTGCAAGGATACCACTCACCAACATAAAAACTTCAAAGAAACGTAGAAATCATTTGCCGCTTTGGTCCCACTGCTTTAGGAATCTATTGCTCACCATAAGTTATAATTCATATTCTTTAGGAATTGTCTAGGAATCTTCAATAAGGAAAAATAAACTATGCAAGCTACAATTTAGGTGTTTGCTATAGTTTTTTCTTGCAAGCGAAGTTTCATAATTCCCACATAAACTCAGTCAGGCTCAGATTTTTTTTTTTGATGAATTGTGTAGCTGATATTTTGATAGATATGAATATTCATATTGGATTTCCTATGAATATGTTGATGTAGTGCTGTAGTGCATCAAGTTCTTGGAAGCCTCCTAATTTCTAGATTTAGTTATAGGATTGCATGTCTAATTTTTGCTCATTATGTTTTATCTTATTATTTGCATATTTACTTTGCCTTGATAATTATGAAATAAGGATATGCTTATTCATTGGTAGGATTGTTTAAGTCACATATTAGCTTGATATTGGTTTATAAAAAAGCTTCTTAGGTTGTAATGAAGGCATTATTGTTTGAAGCAATGTTAAAAATTGTACAATTGGATATCGAGGCACTAAGCATCAAAACGTTTTAAGGCATAAGACTCACCATAAAAAAATTGCATAAAATGAAAGTTAGAGGTAGTTTTTTAGCAACAACATCATCATCAACAATAACAACAACGACATCAAACCTTTCTTTCACTATGTGGGGTCGGCTACGTGAATCTTTTTTCTCCATTGTATTCATTTAAGAGTCAAATTCTCATTTAAATCTAATTATGAAAATGTTATTTCTAGTATTTTCTAACTAAGTATTTTTTGATCTACCCCTACATTTCTTAACATAGGCCAAATCTAATACATCTACTATCCTAAACGAGTCATCGGAAAGCCGACATTTTATGTGACCAAACTATCTAAGGCGACTCTCTCGAATCATATCTACCACAGAAGGTACTCCAACTTTTTCACGTGTATACTCGTTTCACATATTGTCTCTAAGAGTGAAGCCACTCATCCACTTAAGCATTCTCATCTCTGCAACACTTAACATAATTATGCTTCTCTTTTAATGGCCAACATTCTGCTCCATATAGCATTGCAAATCTCACCACCATATTGTAGAATTTTCTCTTAGGTTTGAGCGGCACTTTTCTATCTCGCAACATGCCAGATGCATTCCTCCATTTCAACCATCCAACTTAAATTCTACTAATAATATCCCATCTATTTCACCATCACTTTGAACAATAGATCCGAGATATCTAAAACGCGTACTCTTATTAATGACTTGGTCGCCCAAAGTCACAATCCCTACTCACTAGATCTATTACTATTAAAATTACATTCAATACATTCGGTTTTAGATCCACTCAAGCGAAAATCTTTTGACTCTAAGACTAGCCTCCATAATTCAAGTTTACTTTCAACTCCCTCACTAATCTTATATATATGAGAGATGTATATTTCCAAATAATAATATTTATTAATTTTGAAAGTATGTAAAGAGACACTACAACTCTGTTAGAGTAATATATGTATATAAATATGTTGAGTATTTTTGAGTTGCATAAGTAATCAATAAAAATATGCGAAAGCTACCAAATAATTCATTTAGCAATTTTTCATAATATCCATCCGCTTGAATGACTATACATTACAATTGTTAAGTGTTGTATCCAAAAAAAAAAATAGCAGGAATTCCTTTGCCTTATTACTTGCACATATGGTTATCAAAAAAGTTTGATGCTTGTGACCTGTTAGTGAATATCAATTGCTTTGCTCCATAAATAACTAGACTTCTACTTGTATGATAAGCTCATTTAATTTACATGCTAAACAGAAGCAAAATCTTATTTGATTATGTATCTGCATCTCTTAATATGCAAATGGTCAATCCTACCTTGTACATATGAATACAATTTCAATTACATTAAACAGCCCTTGATGCAAACATCCAAAACAAGAAATGTATCAAGTTATACAAGTCCGCCAATGGCTTTCCTAATATTTAGAAAGTTTATAAAATTCACATGATAGAAAGATGACAGAAGAAACCATAACACAACAAAGCATTTTTATTCACTGAGAACTAGAAACTCTAGATAAACGTGACCTAATATACTAGTTTAAGTGTAAACATAAATGTATCAATTATGATCTAATATCAAAATTGACATAAAAGGTAAAGTCAGAAAGGTTGCAGCCAGAAGAAGTTTCTTTGGAAAATACCTTTCCAAGGAGAAATTTTAGGAATTTGGAAGCTTAAGGTATACAAAATAATTGGCTTATGTGATTAGGAAATTTTTGAGAAGCGCATGTAACAGGAAGGTTTTTTTATGCTAAAGCTTGTCGATTATGCTGTAGAAAAAACAAAAAAGTGCGAAATGCATAACTGCTGTAAATTTTCAGTAAAAAAAGAAGAAAAAAATCAATAGAGAGTAGCTTACTAGGGCGGTGCGGAATGTTGAGTTGGGGTTTTCGCAGGTGGGAGTTGGGAGAAATACCAAAATTGAAATGGTGAGTGACTTCGATCTACTAGACAATCGAGGCCTTTAATGTGGTGAGATGTGTCAGAAGGAGCGGAGGATATTGATGAAATTTGCGAGGATGAAGAATACAATGGGGTATTTCACAGATAACTGTAAGGACATTCACGTCTTTCTCTTAGCTTTGAACAACGGGATTCAAACAAACTCGGGAGGATTTCTTAGGATGGGAATGTATCCATGGGACGTGAATTTTTTTGGAACAGAGCACGACTTCATATCCCCAAACTACCACTCGGTTACGTTTTCTAACACACAACAACGAAATAGTCCCCCCAAATGCATCCTTAGTCTCAATATTGTGTGTTTGTGGTTGTGTTTGATTAGGTATTATTAACAGATTGTTAAAAAAAAATGGCGCTTGAGGCATGTGCTTCAAGCTGAAGAGTGAGGCTAGCCTCAACTAATTTGAGGCATACGATTCACAAGAATAAATCGAGGCGTTGGCCTCAAGGCATGTTTTTCTTTAATTGTGTTGAGGCGTTCCTGTACAATTTTAGATAATGGTTTGAAGGAAACCAATTTTATTTTCTTCACTTTGCTCTCGCTTTTATTCTCTCAATATTCTCCTATCTCCAGCCTCTCTTCAATCCATATCTTTCTTTTTCCCTTTCCGATCTCCATATACTTTTTTCTTTTGCTCTTTTAATATTATTACTAGAGGCTAATCTCAACCATATCCTCATCATTGACTACCCATGCTAAGGAGCTCACCCGACACATATTCCATCTCATTGCTCAACGGACTTCATCTATGATAGACCTCTTTGACCCATGACTACATCTGCAATAGTCTCTACACACTTCAATCTAACGTGTGCATCTTTACCATCCTACTTGCATCCCGTTAGCATCGAATTAATGCCCCTATGTTGCTTACATTGCTTCAAAATCCTCGCGCCCATGCTATCACTCATTATTATAGTGAAGACGCATGAATCGTTAAGTCCACTCCTCCTCATAAGTTCTTGTTGCTACAACTTTGATATCTTTGTGTTGCATACTTGCACGCCTTTGCGCTTTCGTAATTTACTGCGATTCTCAATTCCATGATTATGCTTACTCACTAACTAATCAACACTACCCATGCCAATTGCTTAC